TGTGTGTACATTAATGAGGAAAAAAATTTAACTTAAATGATTTTAGCAAATGGCTGCAATATAACAAAGAGTGAAAAATTTAAGGGGGTCTGAATACTTTCCGTACCCACTGTATATATATAAATATGTATATATATAAATTCTCTGTTGATTGTCACAGTGCATTTCCTGGAAATCAGTGTAATGACTATTAATGACTAGTGTAATGACTAACGTAAGACAAAGGGCTGAAATCAACCACGTGCAAACAATTCAATCAGTTTATATAGTACAAACTATAGTGTTAGAGATACATATAATTTGCATACATTTTGTATTCAAGCTAGGTTGATTTGAGGTCAGGTATGTGACTCCATATTTTTTTCATGTTTAATGTGAGCCAAAAAAAAAAAAACTTTATATCATGTATGTTTATAACAAAAGGTGAAGATGCACAACATATAGTTAATTTAAAATGTTTTAAAATTGTAAAAATGTCACACGAGAAACTATGATGTTAAAACAGTTTTTTCCTATTAGAAATATAAAGATAAACAAAATACACTTTAAAATCTGAAATCAATATGATAAAATGTAAGATAACAGCCCACAAATATATATATATATATATATATATATATATATCAAACAATTCAATCAGTTTATATAGTACAAACTATAGTGTTAGAGATACATATAATTTGCATACATTTTGTATTCAAGCTAGGTTGATTTGAGGTCAGGTATGTGACTCCATATTTTTTTCATGTTTAATGTGAGCCAAAAAAAAAAAAACTTTATATCATGTATGTTTATAACAAAAGGTGAAGATGCACAACATATAGTTAATTTAAAATGTTTTAAAATTGATTCTTCCATGCTCTTCTTTTCATTTACAAGAAATGAAAAGACTTGAAGGCCACCTGAGGGCCAAAAGCTTTGCGGTTGACCGGCCACTAAAATACCTCTCTATTAGTCAGAGTATACTTTCCATTTTCAAATCCCTGTGCTTTGTAAGCAAAACCATCCCCCACAGGATGAATAGATGTGAAAAATTGAATGACTAAATGCATGAAGTGTGGCTAGCATCTGAACAGCTTTTAGGTCAACACAAAACAGCACCACAATTAAATAGCAATTACGTTAACCTGACATTAGCTACAGTTTTTTAGGTTTCTTATAATCTGATTATGGCTGAAGCATTCACAAGTAAATGTTGCAGCAACATTACCTGAAACAGAACCATCTAATCTAGTGAAATGTATGTCTAGACACTCTCAGGGTGAAGATCATATTTCTGTATGTCATGTTAATATCAGCATCAGCCAATCTTCTACACTAATAGCATGGAAGTAAGGGTTTTATATAGATGACAAAATCTAGGAATAGACATGTCAACAGACCCAAACATAGACTGTTAATAGTCAAACAATAGTGAAATTATTGCAATGCAAGTGATGCATGTATCTCTGGTAATATTAAATAAAAATGAAATGAAATTAAATTAAATTAAATTAAATTGTAAGAAAATCAATAATATATCTCTTTTTTTCTCTTTAAATGTATCCTTAGATCCAGTGTATTTCACTGATGTTTTATTTAATAATTTTATTTTATAATACTATTCGTTTTTTTTTTTGCTAATTTTGTTTTTGTTTCTGACTAATTTTAATGTGCTTTTTTACATACGAAAATATATAGCAATGGGAAAATCCAAATAAATACAATGTTGCAACAAAAAGTACATCTATTTTTATTGCCTATTAAAATGTAAAAATCTCTGTACAAAAGCATAGTCTCTAATCTTAATCTATATCTTATTAACAATTTACCTTTTCTGTGGATTGTGACGTGCCGAAAAATATGGGCACAAAGGCCAACCAGATGATACAGGTAGTGTACATGGTGAAGCCGATGGGTTTGGCTTCATTGAAGGTCTCAGGAACCCCTCTGCTCTTAATGGCATAGACTGTACACGTGACCATCAGCACCATACTGTAGCTCAGACAGCCAATCAGAGACAGATCCGACATATCACATTTCAGGATCCCACGCGCATACTCGGGGTTGGGAGGATGTAGCTCATCAAAGTCGACAGTTGTGTGAGGTGGAACCACTCCAAACCAAATGAAAATACCCAGGAGCTGTGAGCAGAAAAGAGGCATGAATGAATGTTTATACAAAATCAATGTCTGTACTGGTCCATGATATCTAACCTACCATCAAACTAAATTATATCAATTCACTAAGAATCCAATTCCAATAATTTTCTGAACATATTTGAGAAGGAGACCATGTCTCTAAACGTTTCCTCAAATAATATGCATTAACAACCATTAATGGAAGGAACACCAAAAAGAGAAGAGCTTTCAGTGAAATGACTGCATGTCCATGCTACTCTCAAAATACTGCTTCTTTAATTATTCAATGGACAAAATGTTCTCAGACAAAAATGTATTTCGGGGACATAAAGCACAGTGACAACACTGTAAACAATTTGCAAAGCAGTTACTCTGAACAAGAGTAAATTTTGCACAGATTATTGCACAGATCATTTAAATTAACATTGACAATGTGCTATTATTATAGACAAAATTAGTTTTATATATTTTAATGGTTTATTTAAATATAATTAAAATTATTTCATATATATATATATATATATATATTATTATTATTATTATTAATAATTTTCATTTTCAACAAACAAAATTGCACAAAAAAGGCAAAAAAATCTGCCAATCTGTTGAACACTGACTTTTTTGAATTAATTTATTTTGAAAAAACATTAGTTCACCTTCGAAATGTATGTTGCTCAAAGTCTGGTAGCTCGCTTTGAATAAAAGCATCGGCTATATGAAGAAATGTAAATTTATCACAGACATACACGCACCTGTACTGAGATCAAAATAAATGTGATGATCAGCTGGGACGTGGGGCTGATAAATTTTGGTGGTGTGACTGATTTCTTTCCCTGCTCAAAGATCCTGTAGATCCGATTTGTTTTGGTAAGCATGGCAGAGTAGCTGATGGACATGCCCAGCCCCAAAAACAACCTGCGAAACGCACACACCCCGGTGCTCGGCTCAGCGATCATGAGGAAGGTGATGAGATAGATGAGGAAGATGCCCGTCAAGAGAACATAGCTGAGCTCTCGGCCCGAAGCGCGGACTATGGGGGTGTCATTGAAGCGGATGAAGGTGATGATGGCTCCTGATGTAGCAAGAATGCCCAGCACTGCCAGAAATACTGGGATAATGGCCCATGGAGAGCTCCACTCCAGCTTGATGATGGGAGTAGGACGGCAGCCAGTGCGGTTAGAGGTGGGCCTCATGTCAAAGGGGCACGTATCGCAGTTAAACTCATCCAGGAGGTACTGATAGCCGTCACATAGTTCACAGTGCCAGCAGCACGGCACACCCTTCACCATCCTCTTCCTCTCCCCAGACTCACAGGGAAAACTACAAACCGAGTCTGGAACCAGTTTATCCCCTCCAGACCACTGCATGTCCTCCGCCTTACAGAAAGAGAGAGAAAACTTTCAAGAACACGCATCCAAAAATGTTCCAAACTACCAAGGGGCTTAACACGCTTACACTGAGTCGTAAGTGGTTGGTCCACTGGCCGATGATTTTATATCCCGGGATGGTGGTATTGGAAAGCTGGTACTGGAAGATATCGTATCGTCCTGGGGCGTCACCGTTTTCATTAAACATCACACCTGTCCCAGCACTGCCTTCAGAGTAAACAGAGGGTTTTGATATTCAACATCACTAGTTATTACTTCAAATGCAATCATTTGAAACAACAGAATATAAACAGCCCACTTCAAGGGCATAAAATTGTATTAATGCGTAGAAACACATGCTTCGGCACACCATTGTTCTTTTTCACCCTTTGATTTTATAGTAAAATTGTCAAACATTGTCAAACTTTAAAGGTGACTTTTCCATATCAAAGGCTGCTTACAAGAAAATATGGTGTTGTAATCGACAAAAAACACATGTCTCAGATGTAATTCTGTAAAGATAGATGTGTTACAACAAAGCAAACTCAACCTCAGGTTTCTTTCAGTAAACCAGAGTTTACAAATCACGAGGGGCAAGGTCTCCACGCAGCGTGATTTGTTCCCCTTAGGCTCTCAAAGCTGAATAGATTTCCATACAAGAGTGTGAGGATGTCCACTGTGCATAAACTGAATAGCTGTGCTTTTAATAGAAATCTCTTAGAAGTGAGTGACAAAAAGAAAAGGGATTTTCACAGAGAGATAGTGCTGAAAAAAGGAAATGCGCCTTGTGTTTGGAGAGAGGCTGCCCTAGGGAAAATCAAAGACAAGGAAAGAGACGAGGGGAGGGGGTTAAAACAAGTATGTGCGCTGCTGGATTGTGCATTAGTGGATCTCTTCAGGCTGGGATTGAGTGCTGACCTCTCTTGCCACACTCTGACTAACCCATGGGACTCACAGCCCTCCTCCTTGGAAACAGCAGCTTCGTTTCTGGCCTTTCCCCTCTCGTAGAAACTACTCTTCACCTATTTTCACCTGTCAGTCTCACAGCAAAGGCAATATCTTCGATATGAGAGTGTTTGGCAAAAGCAGGTTTATTGTGTGTAATCTTCCTGGCAGATTCAAACAAAGCATTCAAAAGCTTACATTCAAATTCTTGTGATGTTCATTAGTCTTGCACTGTATGAATACAGACCCATTGCTAAAATTCGAACTGTTTCAAAGTCTCTTTCGCAATGTTTGAAATGGCTCACATGCTTCAGCTGTGTCCTTGAGAAGGCTTACCATTAAAACTGACAGCACGGATGTAACTCAGCAGCATTCTTCCATCCACCGGGTCCATTTTGTCACAAACGCCCATCGAACTCGGACAGAGGTCCATGTGCATGCTATGGAGTGCGTGGGCCATGGCATACACGGCGTCGATCACAAACTGCACCTTCCCTTCCTGCTCGTATACCGAATCCTGGATGATTCGTTCCTCTCCTGAATGACCGAAAGCAACATGACAGGAATCAAAAAGCAATGCTGAGGGAATAATCCACTTAGATGTGCTTTACACGTCTTAAAAGCATAGGAACGTATGATAATCAAAGTACTACTGCATTTATGGGAGTAATTTGTTGGAAATGATTTCCTCGCCTGTGCATTTCCTCAGCCCGCTGTCGCCTCGGATTCCAGGCCGTGTCAGTTTGCATTTGAAGTCATCCTCCCAGAACTCAGCGAACCAGATGTTCCTCCTGTTGTTTTCCAGTGATCTTGTTGTGAAGTACTGGTCAAACCCTGAGAAACAGATTAAAAGGATATGAAAAAATTAAATATTGTGCTGTTATTTTTTCTATGGGACACATAAGTAGAATTTTTGTGTTTTCTTTGTCATTTTCAACTGTAGTGAACTATCTTTTTAAGTATGAAAATGTTACCTAACACTACATGAGCACATGGGCAGAAATGTTCCGAATAACTGAGGCTTTCAGATGGATTTTTTTTAATTATCAAGCCTTCGTTGATTTTACAATGGCCTGTGCTGTCATTTCATACCCTCAATGGATGCCCGCTTGGGGAGGATAGTAACCGCACCCTCAGCCACGTCTTCCAGGTTTAGAATGGGTGAGTTTTTTGCTCCCCAGCTATCAGATCCCACAAACAAAAATTGACCTGTAAGATTGGCTCTTTTTGCTGCTTCCAGGACACGCCTACAATCAAAGAATACAAAAATATCAGACACCTCACAAGAAGCAGGTTCATTAAAGATAAGGACAATTAGATCCATTATAGTTAGGAATCTGTTGATTGCTGCTGATTTCAAAGCTAACCAACTAAATAAATACATAGTTTTAATGCATTTAATGCATCCTTGCTGAATAAAATATTAATATTTCCACAAAAAAATATTAAGAAGCAAAAACTGTTTTTAGCATTGATAATAATAAGAAATAAAATGTTTCTTGACCACTAAATCAGCATATTAGAATGATTGATGAAATTCTGAAGGATCATGTGACAGCTTTGCCATCACAGAAATAAATTACATTTTAAAATATTATTTTTATAATAAATAAATATGACAATTTATAGTATTAAAACAGAATATAGTTCTTTTAAATTATAATAATATTGTAATAATATTTCTCAGTGTTACTGCTTTTACTGTATATGCCTTGGTGGATATATATATATATATATATATATATATATATATACAGTATATATATATATATATATATATATATATATACAGTATATATATATATATATATATATATATATATACAGTATATATATATATATATATATATATATATATACAGTATATATATATATATATA